TAATTCATATTTAGAATTGTAATAATAAAGATTATTATTATAACATCAAGGCTTGACTATGCAAACTCCTTGCTTGTCGGCCTCCCAATTCCTCCCTCCATAGGCTGCAGATCATCCAGAACTCTGCAGCCCGTGTCCTCTCCCGCACCAGGCTACGTGACCCTATCACCCCCATCCTCAGCCGACTCCACTGGCTTCCTATCGCACAGAGGATACAGTCAAGATCCTGGTCCTTACCTTCAAAGCCCTCCATGACCTCGCTCCCCCTACCATCTGCCCGCTCCCTCCGCTCAGCGAGTTCCGGCCTGCTTCATGTCCCCCGCCTCGCCCGCCCCAACGTTGGTAGTGGGCCTCCTGCCACTCTGCCCACACCCTCTGGAACTCCATCCCACAGTCCCTCCACCTCGCCCCCTCCCTTGCCTCCTTCGCCTCCTTCAAGACCCATCTCAAGACCCTCCTCTTCGACCGTGCTTTCGATCTCCCTGCTTCCCTGCCTCCACCCTCCCCAAACCCGACCCTCAGCTCGGGTCTGAAACACTGACTGTCCAGCGCCTTGGGACGTCCTCCCGCTGTGAAAAGCGCTATACAAATGTAATTTTTTTATTGTTGTATTGGCAAGCAGAAAGGCACCAACTTTGTTAAATGAGACTGGTGACTACTGAATCCAATTTTAGTTGATGTACTGACTAAAGTAGAGAGAATTTGATGCTGGTTTCCTTACTCCACACATCTGTTTAATTAGCAGTTAGTAGGAACTTGTTTGTTAGTCGATTAGTTGGTTATTGGTTGTTAGTCGGATTGGTTTCCAGGGTAAAAATCCCTACCAAAAAGAGAGGGGTTCCTACTAACTACCCCTTATGGTTGAGTGAGCTGTTGCATGCTGCGAAAGTACCAGAGGGTACCAGAGGGTACCAGAGGGTACCCAGCTCCCGTGGAACCACATTCTAGAATCAAAGCAGAGAACTAGAAAACTAATTGGATTTTGTGATTTTTAAAAAAAAAACTATATCTGTTAATCTCTGCTTTTGTCAGTCTTGGATTGAGTTACCAATTTATTGTTATTATTTTTTTTGAAGGAATTATTCCTCGCAGAAAAGCAATCCACCAATCAACTAACAACCAGGTTCCTACTTACTACTAGATAACCAGAGGCATTTGGAGTAAGGAAACTTGCCTAACATTTCGCCCTGCTGGGAATCAAACCCAGGTCTCTAACTTGCGAGGCGAGAGCTCTAACCACTGAGCAACAACAGCTAGAATTGGGACAGGAGAACTCTTTTCAGTTCAATTATACATTTTAATGTATTTTGCTTCTGCATATTGATTCTTATTTTGTGCTAAAGTCACTTGAATGTGCTATATTGTGTTTGAAAGCTCATATAATTTTCTCCCTGCTGATGCATTCTATCAAACAACATGGTTGTATTTCCTAATCATATAACTACCTGTTATTCTTATTGTATTGATTATTGAATTGTTGCTATTTATGTTACATATCAACGTGTACAAGGTTTGTTCAACAGTGCGACAGCAGGATAGATTAAAAATTGGTGTGGAAAAATAAGCAGATTTCAATGTAATTCACTTCCACACAAACCAATGTCCAACTAAATATACCTAAAGTCTTATAGAACCTGCTTAATACCACTCTGTGAAGATTATCATGGTCCTTTGCTGCATTATTCTGGAAATGGGAAGTGCTCCAGTTTCAAATAGGGTATTTACATAGATTGTACAGCACTGAAATTGGCCTTGGGGCACAACTTGTTTATGTGCCACCTGCCTCCATTTACTCCCTCGTGTACCCTTCTTCATGTGTGTATAACTGCTATAAGGTCTGATTGGCTGTATTTTTTCATATATTAGAGGCAGGTATTGCAGCTTGCTATCTAAATTAATCGACTGAACTGTTTTTATACAGTTCTGTAGTCTAACTTTTTTAAAGAAAAGTTTCCATTTCCACCCTCTTTGTCTGTCTATCTTCCCCTCTGTCCCATCTCTCACTCTTGCTCAGCCACCTCCTCCCACCTTTCACTTGTGGGTCTTCCCCATTAAAATGCAATTTTTGCAGGTTTTGTTATTAAAAGAAAACAACAACAAAATTACATTTGTATAGCACCTTTCACGTCGGGAGGACGTCCCAAGGCGCTGGACAGAGTTTCAAAAACATATTAAAAGGTACAAATATGCTTATAACACATCCCTACACCATTATAAAGTAAGTAGATTATTTTATTTCCCATTCCACATCTAATTTAACTTGTTATCCTTTTTGTCTCTGTCTCCCCCTCCACCCCCAATCCGGCTCACAACAAAATAAGCGAATCAAGGAAGTTACACTAAACAAATTTTGCTCGAAGTAGATGCAGTTGCTTGCCTTCCTAAAAATTAGCCTTCCTAAAAATTATTGTTCCAGAGCTCCAGTAATTGGGCTTCCTAAAGTCATAAATCAACCTCTTGTTATGACTCCTGTGATTGTTACTGGAATATTAATTAGCAATCCTACTAGCTGACATTGTATTATTAATGTTATCTGGTTCTACCACTAAAGATCAATTTAGCCTTTAGCCAGGTCATTGACCTGAGACGTTGACTTACTTTCCTCTCTCCATAGATGCTGCCTGACCTGCTGTGTGTTTCCAGTGAGTTCTGTTTTTATTTCAGATTTCTAGCATCTGCAGTATTTTGCCTTTCTGATGATTAGTCCGTCTTTTCAGAGTCAAAAGGACTAATCACTTTACCATTATCACCTCCTTATCTGGTGTCTCAGTTCCACCCTCTTCAGCAATCTGTCTGGATGAACAATCCCATTATACAACAAGGTGCTTTAGTTTCATCAATGTTCATATTGCAAGAGATTCTGGCCCCCACACATATCAAGAGAGATTGGCGACTTCTGTAACTTGTAATATATTATCAAGAGCATCCAGCAAATAACATTTAGAAATATAATATGCAGTTAATAAAATCTTGATCTTCGTTTGGCAGTGCAAAATTTTGAATGATCTTATTGTTACTGTAAAAATCTTTTTTTTAGACAAGGAATTATTATTGGCTTAGTCTCTTTCCAGTTTAAATGAGTTCATAAAAATTCGTCATATGCTTAACCTAAGATTTATTTTGATTTGGTTTTTAATACTTTTTTTTGATAACTTGTTTTCTTCTACAATGATATATGCAGATGATACTATTTCTTTCAAGCCTCTTATAATAATAATATTCCTTGCATTTGATGTAACACCTTATCACATCTTCTAGACTTCTCAAAGTGCTTCACAGAATATACTGTAGTATTGTATTGGAATAAAACATAAAGTTCACACTTCAGAGCATTTGCCAGCCAAAATGTTTCAATTGTAACTGTTTGAAATGCTGGAGCATTGGCGAGAGTATGGTATAAATTTACAAGGATGTGTTACCAAGGATGAATTGATAAGGCTATTGGACAGGTTGGAGCTTTTCTGACTAGTATCAACAACAACTTGCACTTATATAGCACCCTCTGCGCAGAGCGCTTAACAGCGCCGGAGCCTGACTCCGAGCCAGTGGGGGTGGGGTGGGGGTGGTGGTGCCGTGAGCACAGCCAAAAAGGAAGGTGTTCAGGTGGGACTTGAAAAAGGGGAGAGAAGAGGCAACAACAACAAAAATGGCGGAAGGGTTGATGTGACGTGATTGAGAGAGGATCTGCTGGAGGGGTTTAAGATTGTTTGATAAAGTGGATGTTGATACTTATTTCCACATATTGGTGAGTCCAAAACGAGGGGGTCATAAATATAAGATATCTAGTAGCAGATCAAAAAGGTAGTTTGGAGGAATTTCTTTATGCTGAGTATGTGGAATTCACTGTCAGAACCTGTGGTTGAAGCAATAAATGCCAATGTATTAAAGAGGGAACTTGTATACTTGAGGGAGAAGGGAATAGAGGGCAATATGACCAGTGGAGGCATTTATATAATATAATAATATGCTTGCATTTGATATAGCGCTTTTCACGTCTTCTCGACGTCTCAAAGCGCTTCACGGAATAGACTGTAAAGTGAATTGACCGTATATTTGTGGGCGAAACATGGCAGCCAATTGCATACAGCAGTATCCCACAAACAGTCGTGGATTGAAAATGACCAATTTATTATTTTTTTTGTTTTTGGAGGGATTATTATTAGGCGTGTGGAGTAAGGAAACTTGCCCAAGGTTTCTCCCTGCCTGGAATTTAACCCAGGTGTCTCACTTGCAGGGCGATTGCTCTAACCACTGAGCTACAGGACTCCACATTTGTGTAGTGTAAACACCAACATGGCCTATAATAGTGGGCAAATGGCCTGTTTTTGTGCTGTATCATTCTGTGTAATTCCATGAAACCACAGAATCTTGCAGTTGTATGCACGGTTCTCTGAATGAGTAATATAGAAAAATGTCTGCAAATTCGAATGTGAAGCTACAATTGGCTGAGAAGTGCCACTGTAAATCTCGATTTGGTGCAAAATGAATTCTTGTAACAAATGCATGTATAAGACAAAAGTAAACTGGGCTCTGAACATAATCATATTCAAAGTTTATGTTTATATAAATTCGATAATTTGGAGCAAATTTTGCTCCAAATAATTTGTTATATAGTCTAACAGCAACAATACCACTTTGCACTTATATAGTACCCTCCACACAGGGTAGTGTCTTAGAGTGCTCAACAGTGGCGGAGCCTGATTCCGAGCTGGAGGGAGGTGACCATAAACACAGTCGAAAAGGAAGGTTTTCAGGTGGGACTTGGAAAAAGAGGAGCGAGGGGCCAAGGCGGAGGGCATTGAGGGAGAGTGTTCCAGAGCTTCGGGGCATAGTGGCTGAAAGCACGACTAAAGGAGTTCCAATCAAGAGACAAGCCATTTAAGATGCACTATGCAGTTCCCTATAGTTTCTCCACAGTATTTGTTGCATCGCATATATTAATGTGAAATAATTGATAGTATATGTTTTTAATTGTTTATATCATATGCTTTTCATTTTAGCCAGGAAGAGATATCAACAACCACCTGCCAAACGTTCAAGGTAATGGACATATTCTTGGCAATGACAGATTTCAGCCTGTTGTTCCTTGGCCTCACGTTGAAGGAGTGGAAGTAGACTTAGAATCTATTCGACTGAAAAATAAAAATGTACCACAACCTGGTGGCAATAACCAACAAAATGCAATACAGAAACAGTACCTCACCTTCAAACCACAGAAACATGTTTACTCGGATCCTGTGCTGAGGTATGGTGTCCTGGGGAACTTTGAGCCCAAAGAGCCAGAACCTCCTGGTGTTATCGGTGGTCCTGGAGAAGGAGCAAAGCCTTTTGTATTGGGTCCTGAGTATAAAGACACCATTCAAGCAAGTATCAAAGAGTTTGGTTTCAACATGGTGGCTAGTGATATGATCTCTCTGGACCGAAGTATTAATGACTTGAGACATGAAGAGTGAGTACCCTTGTTAACTTAAATTGCTATTGTTATCCTGAATTGTAATTTGTTTATTTTTAATAAGCATTTCTGCAATTAAGCATTGCTTTCCCTCTTCCCCCCCCCCCCCCCTCCCCCTTCCTATATTCCCCTTTTCTCTGGATGTTGCTGACTCTTGCTGAGGTTCTTTTCCAAAGGTGGCAGCAAACCTTCAGTACCTTGCCCAAGCAATCATTCTTCATGCATCAGCTTAGATAGTTGGCATTGACAAAACCTTTGACCATAGGGGGAGCGTCAGCACTGAGCCAAACCCTACCTCATGCCTCACAGTAAATGTGTACTTCACAGGAGGATGTTGATCAGGAATCCTGTCTTTTCCCATAATTATCAAAATTAATTTAGATATCTATCTAAAATTGCCTTTCACGTTGGGAGGATGCCTCAATACACTTGACAACATTTACTGTAAAGTCTAGTGACTGTATCTTGTAGGTGAACTTGGCAGCCAATTTGTGCACAGCAATGTAGTACAAACAGACATTAACTGAATGACCAATTTTATCTGGGGGGATTGCTGCCCAAAACACTGTGAGTAACTCCCTTCTCTTTGAGTAGTAGCATGGCATCTTCAGTGTCTACCTGAAAGTACCTCAGTTAACATCTCATACAAAGGACCAGTCATCCAACAATGAGGCGCTCCCCCAAGCCTTGCATTGAAGTGTCAGCCTAAACACTGAGTTCAAAGTCCTGGCTTTAGGGCTTGAACCCATAACAACAACAAATTACATTTGTGTAGCTCCTTTCATGCCGAGAGGATATCCCAAGGTGCTGGACAGTCAGGGATTTGTACCTGAGCAGGGAAGGTAGGGGTAGAGGGTGGCCGAATGTGCGGGTGAAGAGGAGGGTCTTGAGATGCGCCTTGAAGGAGGCAAGGGAGGGAGCAAGGTGAAGGGACTGGGATGGAGTTCCAAAGGGTGGGGGCAGAGAGGTTGAAGGCCCGACCGCCAATGGTGGGCCGTGTGGATGACTTGGAGCAGGCGGGAGCTTGCTGAGCGGAGGGACGGCCAGGTTTATACGGTGTTAGCAGGTCACACAGGTAGGAAGGAACAAGGCTGTGGAAGGCTTTGAAGGCAAGGACAAGGATTTTGAACTCTATCCTTTGGGGGATGGGGAGCCAGTGGAACAGGGTGAGGTTGATTCAGAGGTGAGAGTGCTACTAAGCCAAGCTGATGCAAAAGGCATTCCTAACCTCAATTACTACAGTGATTTCCCACATAACAAGAATGATAACAACAAATTACATTTGTATAGTGCCTTTCACATCAGGAGGACATACCACGGTGCTTAGACCCCAGCCAATTCCACATCCTCACAATTATGTGTGTTTTAAAAAGAGAACTCGTTAATTCTGCTGATTGAATTGTGATGGAATCCTCATTACAAAGAGTTTTATTTAACTAAGTTTAATGACTTATTTTATGAGCAGTTTATAAAATTATGCATTAATTAATGCATAATTAATTGGGGCATTTTAAAAATATATAATACTTGGAAATAACAACAATAACTTGCATTGACAATAAATAATACCCTTTTTCGCAGATAGCGTCTCGTCTGGAGTATCTAAAATATAAGGTATTATGTAAAGTGAGTAAGTTTTTTTAAAAAATCCTGTTAAAAAACTCAGATCAGGCTTAAGAGTGGCATACTCATTCCTGTACCTAAGCAGAAGGATTAGAAGGAGTGAACTCCTTGAGCAGTTGGGCTGGAACCATTATATTGCAACAGTGATTTTCTACCAAACAAGAATGGTACCTCTTTACGCAACTCCCAAACTTGGGCAAGATTGTGAGGCAAAATATGAGTCTTTCATCCATCCAGGGCAATTTCTTCTGTTCACCTGGGGCAAGGTAATAATAGAAATCCTTGCATTTGATATAGCGCCTTATCACGTCTTGGAGACATCTCAAAGCGCTTCACAGAATTTTCGTGTAACGTGAATTGACTGTAAACTTTCTAGGCGAAACGCAACTATCCTGCAGGTAGGCAATTTGAGCATATTCCTTTTAAGAGGTGGCAATTTATACAGTCAATTCACTTTACAGTATATTCTGTGAAGCATTTTGAAGATGTCTTGATGACATGATAAGGCGTTATATAAAATGGAAGGATTTACAGAATCGAGAAATAAATAAAGAACAATTTACATGTAGTGGCTTTTACATCAGGAAGATATCTCAACTTGCTTCAAAACCCTGAAAAGGAGAGTAATGTTTTTTGAAGTTGTATAAGTAAAATAATCCTCACTCACAATAAAATAATTCAGTTCCACTGCCCAAAGGGCTTTCTCTAACTGTTTATATCAGATCTGGCCAATAATAATCCTTGCATTTAAATAAAGTCCAATAACATTAAAAAATCTCAAGACATTGACATAATTCATGTCATGTTATAACTGTGTTTGTAGCTAACCATGGCAGCCATTTTGGGCATAGCAAGAATCCACAAATAATCCTAAAGTGAATGATCAGTGAATCTAAACGATGTTGATCAGAATACTGAATGCAACTTCTGTTTATTTCCAAACAGTGGCATGGGATCTATCACGTCCACTGAACAGACAGATGGGATCTCAGTTCAATGTCTCACCCAAATAACGGCATCCCTAATAATGCAGCACTCCTCTGGTACTGCAGTGTGTTGTTAATCTACACTATGTGCTCAAATCCGAATTTAAAAAAAATTATAATGAAAAATAATAATCCTTATGGATACTGAGTCCTGTAGCTCAGTGGTTAGAGCACTCGCCTCGCAGGCGAGAGACCTGGGTTTGATTCCTGGACAAGTTTCCTTGCTCCACACGCCTCTAGCAGTAAGTAGGAACCCCGGTTGTTAGTTGATGGGTGGATCGTTTTTTTTCGTGAATAAAAAAAATTGGTCACTTAATCCATGACTGTTTGTGGGACACTGCTGTGTGCAATTGGCTGCTGCGTTTCGCCCACAAAATATACAGTCATTTCACTTTACAGTGTATTCTGTGAAGCGCTTTGGGATGTCCTCCCGACGTGAAAAGCGCTATATCAAATGCAAGTATTATTATTATTATTATTAATTGAGCAAAATCAAGTTAATCTGTAAGAGCACTCTGCTTACTCCCTGACATAAAGGTATAATGATTAATCACAGCAGCAGAACATTGCAGGAGTGCATCTTGTTCTTATAGATATTGCTGCAGCATATTAGTAGAACAATTACTTCAACATGAGCAATTTGGAAAAGCAATTCAACACTTAATCAGCCCAGTAAACAACCTGGAAAGTAAGAGGTGCCCAGGTATGATCAGGAAAGACAGTCAAAGACTGAGTTTTAAAGTGATTAAATCTGCAGCAGTCCCTCTTATTGCTGCTTTCTATTAGGCCTCTGGCTACTCTATTAATGGTGTTGTCACTTGTCATTCATAGCACATTCCCAGTCATCACAGTTTAAAATCTCTGATCTTCCCAGTTTTTTTCCGGGTATCCTTTTTTCCTCATCGGCTATAATGTTATCTAAGATCATTGACAGCCACGTTGAGACTTTGAAGTCACAGTCTAGCTTGCCACTTCAATAATAATAATAATCCTTCGATTTCATATAGCACCTTAAGTTGTTGAGACATCTCAAAGCCCTTCACAGGATGTTACTGTGAAGGGTAGTAACTGCATATTGGTTTGGAAACCTGACAGCAAATTCGCCCACAGCAATGTCCCACATACAGACATGAAGTAACTGACCAATTTTATCTGGGGAATTGTTAGAGAAATTCTCTTTTTTTAGGTGGTGAAATGGGTTCTTTAACATCTACCTGAACAGGAAGACGGGACTTCAGTTTAACATCTCATCCAAAGGACAGCACTTCTGACAATGCAATGTTCCCCGAACACTGCATTGTAGGAGATGCCATCCTTCAGATGCGACATTAATAGCTGTTTGGTAAGAATAGATTCAGTTGAGGCACAATGAAATTTACCAGGATGGTACCAGGAATGAGGGACTTGAATTATATGGAGAGACTAGAAAAGCTAGAATTGTTCTCCTTGGAACAGAGAAGGGTAAGGGCAGATTTAATAGACATTTTAAAAATTATGAGGGGATTTGATAGAGTGAACAGGGAGAAACTGTTTCCACTGACAGGTGGGTCGGTAACCAGAGGACATAGATTTAAGATAGTTGTCAAAAGATCCAGAGGGGAGATAAGGAGAATTTTTTTCACACCGTGAATTGTTCAGATCTGGAATGCACCGCCTGAAAGAGTGGTGGAAGCAGATTCAATAACAACTTTCAAGAGAGAAGTGGATAGATATTTGGGGAGGACAAATTTGCAAAGCTATGGGGAGAGAGCAGGAAGTGGGATTAATTTGGATAGCTCATTCAAGAACTGGCACGGGATCGATGGGCTGAAAGGTCTCCTTCTGTGCTTGTATAATTCTATGATTCTAATGTTCTTTTTTATCAGAAAGCTGTAAGTGAATAATGACAACTCAGATACCAGAAAATCACAGAAAAGTGTACCGGCATGAATCAATGCTTTCAGGTTTTAGAGAAAATTCATCTCTTGCTTCTGGATTCAGGTGATTGGAAAAGTGAATGAGGATGGCCTGGACCATATGGTTGACCAGCCTTCATTGTTTTGAAGATGTCTGGTCAAATCTTTAGCCTTGCACAAGATTGACTGGAATAGAACCACAATTGCTGGGGTTGCCAGGAATTTAAACTGCATGCAGCTGCATCTCAACATTCTCAGTGATCCAAGAGAATCTGCATATATGGAAATTTATGCCGTTGGATGCTTTCTCTTTTATTATCAATTCTTTGAGTTTCTGAGAGCGAATATTCCTTTGATAGCTTTAATTCCAAAATATGTAGATTGTATCCCAAATTAAATCTTAATTAGGGCTAGAGATACTGCTGTGTCTCAATTCTGCCTTTTTTTCATAGAATCATCCCAGTTTAGAAGCATTAAATTAATTGCTAATTGT